TTCTGAGTTTTGATGATTTTTCCCAAAATTGGCCACGAGGCGCAGCAAGTTGCGGGACTAGGTGACTTGCACCATACGAAGTACTTTAAAATTATATAGTCACACAACATAAATTTGAGATCGTCACAAAGTGATATATGTGATAAATCGAACTTCCACCATGCTTATTTTGGATGTCTATCTTGGTAGCGATATCTCGTTCACATGAGAAATACTGCAATGAGTCAATAAAAGAAAATGTAATAAAAAACATATATGCTAATATGTGAGTTGTCCATGTGCGTTCAGGAGTGTTCTTCATGACACCATTCATTTTTATTATTGTATCAAAGTGGCTAGAGATGCTCTTAATGATAAAAATGTCAGGCATTTTTAATTGATCATAACTTTCTGGTGGGATAAATAATGAAATTTTTCGGATAAACTACCCAATCGATGCATTTTCTCCTCTATTTTAGCGATAACTTTCTCAAACTCTTCAATGTTTCTAAAATTAGTTGTGTATTTATTGATATTATTATCGCCTTCCATATCTTCTGTCTGATCATCATAAACTAAATCATCACAACCCTCCTCTTCCACAATCTTATCAAACAATTCCATGTAACTACATGCCTCTGCACTCATATATTCATCTTCATCTTTTAATATTAGCCTCTCAAAGATCTCAATTCGTTCTCGCTCAAAAGTTCATGCACCTGATTTAATGTATCCTTATCTCCCATAGCAATAACATAATAATTTGCCTCAACATTGCTGGTGTTCTGTATAGTTTTGAGTTTGTCGTAATACGTTGGAAATTTGAGTTTTCCAAAAGTAATTAAGGTTTCGGTCACAGAGTTTGATAAATCTTCTTGGGAGGTACCTTCTTCAGAATACAATCAAAAGTGAAGGTATAGTAAAAAACAATAAAACACACCCGTTCATTTGCCACTTGTTTATCAAGATTAACACACTCCCAGAATTTCTTTACTCCGTGAGTTTCATCCTTACAATAAAAATAAGAGAAGTTAATTTTTGTGAATAGAAATAGCCCATTTAGATGAAGAGAAGGTTTGCAGTTATAATTATGAATGGTCACACTAGGAACAGCACCCATCACTCCAGGTATGGACAGCACCCCCCAGAGCTGTGCGACTGCAGGATATTACACTGTAGGAACGGCACCCCATACCTTGAAGTAGGAATGGCACCCCTTCAAGGCTGTGCAACTCCTGATTCAGAAAAGAAAGACATAAAAGATTACGCACCGATTGTAATAATAAAGTCGCAACTCCACCCTTCTCATTTTCTTGTTCCTCAGAAAGGATTCTTTTTAGGATATTACAAAATCGCTTTCGTAAGGATGAGTTCTCAGCAATTGTCACATCTCGAGCACTGGACATCCATACTGGTTTCAACGCTTCTAAGAAACCTAAGTATGACCATTCTGACAGAGGAGTATCATTGAAATACGAATCGGCGGCCTCATCTGAAATTTATCATCAATTTTAAGTATAACAATAATACTGCCAACAACAGGGAAATGTATGGTTCATTTATTTTACCAATATTACCAAGATATTTCTTCGACATTATAGATAGAACGTGTAAATGAAGAAAACGTGTGACAATCATCATAACAAATTTCATTTTTATTGACTATCAGATCAGATGATTAATGTGAACCGTGATTGGTTGGGGTGTCTCACATCATATGATTTACAAACATAGTTGATTGGGGTGTCTTATTTTACAAACATAGTTGATCACATATATAAATTTTCATATACAGTCTAACCTCGCCACAGCGGATTTCGTCACAGCGGATTTCTTGTCACAACGGATTTAAGTATTGGCCCCTTTTTTTATTAATTAAAAAATATTTGTCACAACGGATTTTATTAATAAACTTGCGTCACAGTGTTAACGGATTTTTGATGGTGATCTCTCTATATATGTCTACTAATCTCACCACAGCGGATTCACGTGACATTCAAGTTATAAAATTATCCAAATTACTAAAATTGATAAACAAAAAATTTTTTTTTCCACAATTAATAAAATTATTCACAGATTTTTTAATAACAATAGATCAAAATTTTTCGTTTCTAAAAATTTTAAATAAAATAATAAAACAATTAAATAGATTATTTGTTCAAGTAACAAAATTTTTAAATTCTAAAATAAAGTAACAAATAAACAATTAAATAGATTATTTGTTGTAGACAATTAAATAAATGGGATTATTATCCTTTATCAAAGATTCATAATTTTCAAAATGTATAAATTAAGATGAAATTGTATTATTAAAACTATAATTAAAAAATAAAAAATGTCCCAACAATTAGTGTTCCATGTCGCAATCCAAAAAAGGAAACAAAATGGTCGTAAAGGTGGTTGCAACCAGTGGTTGCAATCATT